GTCTGTTGACTATAGATGTAGCAGGATGTATATTCAGTCCAGTACAACTTACACCACTTTGATTGTGTTGATGTGGGGGCTGCACAGAGTGCTGAGTGTTGCATAACATCCATTCAGTGATTTTATCTGATCTCTGTTGTCTGATCTCCTTGAGACTCATCTCCTTCCTTCTGCCCTTCATTCCTTTCTTCCTTCCTGCTTGAATGTTCTGCATTGTCTGGGTCATCTTGTTCAATGTGACCATGTTCACCTATCTTTAAATACAAGTTCAGAATGTATTTCACAGTGAGACAGAAGCAGCGTGAAGTTCTGGGGAACTTTATGTTGCTGGAATAACTTTCTGCCAAAATATACAAATTTGTGATTCAGTTGATGAAGCCTGATTGTGTTGCTAAACATTTTTTGTTCTTCTTGTTCTGGGAAGCAGAAATAAATCCAGATCAAATTAGTTTTTGGTTCCACATTGGTCTGATATTGTTTCTCTGAATAGCCTGACAGATAAAATAGCTCCTGAGCCTCAGTCTGCCTGCAGATCTTCTCTACATAGAGAGTCATTCTGCTCTCTCTGCAGCCAGTAGCCAACCCTGTGATGCCTGTTTCCACAGCATTCTCCTCTGGGTTGACGGGCATGACGACAAGCTCCACCAGCTTCTGTGATCAAAGATCCCCACAATTACAAAAAGTGCGTGGATCTGAGAGAAGCAGCATTGCCCACACTGAGGTCGTTCATGTAAATCATCGAGGTAATGTCCACACGTTTAGCTGAATTCCAGCTCCTTTTCAGGCTGAGAGTGACAAAACAGCCAAAGTCTGGTGAAATTTGAGAGACATAAAGGAAGATTTCCCTCCTGGCCACAGCGTCAGGTCACATACGGGCTTAACACAACTAAACATTATGCTCGCTGCAAGCCCCTCTGTTTCTAATGGCTATTACTGCCTGTTTGCCTTTGTGGGTCTCACAATAGCATTCATGCTGGGATTTTGTGTGAGTCTTGCTGGCAACAGTTATTAGCCCCCCAAAAGAAATCTGAAGGGGAAGCAGTCAAGAGAAGAACAAGAAGATTTGGGGGTCCCGGCTGCAGCATGGCAGGGGTGAAGAGGGGGGCTGGGTGGGGTTGATGGAAAGGGAAAGGGAGGGATGCAGGGAGTGAGGTCAGAGGGTAACACAAAAGCGGAAATGGGGGGCACACGGGGAACAAAGGGCAGGGCCGAACCAAGACGGGCACGGCTGGAGGGAGGGTGGACAGTGCACAAAACACAGGAAGATGAGGAGAAAAAGATGAGGGGGCAGAGTGGAGGGGAGCCCCCAGCAGATGGTAAAGGCCGGGCGAACAGAGAGGGGCGGCACCGAAGGGATGAAGGAGGGAGAGCTGAAAAGCTCCTGGCAAGACTCATGACAGAGCGAAGAAGAAAGAGTCAACACTTCAACCCGTCTGGGTCTTGGTCTTAGTGGGAGCACTGAACGTCACCTGTTTACAGCTTTTTTCTTTAAATATATGCGGCTGGACATTTTTAGCGTTTTAGGAATTTCAAACGCCTCGAAAAAGTATTCAGACACTTCCAGGCCTTCACATTTTGTCACAGTAAACCGAGAAAAGTCGATAGATTTTACTTGGACTTGAGTAGGATGACACAAAATATTGCATAAACGTCCCATGGATGGCTTCAAAATATTTCTTTTCGGAAGCATCAAAAGTGTGGAGGCTGAAATCTTTTCACATTCTGTTTCGCAAAACACTTCAAGTTTGGTCAGATTGAGTGGCAAGTGTGCGACAGCATCAGTTTTTAAATTTTCTCAGGTGTGTTTGGGCCTTGACATTCACAGGGTCAATCTGGATTTTATTGAAGCGAATCAGAGTCAAGGGGGCTGAATAAGCTTCAAAACTTAAACCACCTGATCATTTTAACATTTCGACTCAGCGTTTGTGCTGTTCAGAGGTGTGGAGAAACTTCTAAAGTCATCAGGTTTCACCTTTTCAGCACTTGTGAAAAATCATTACCCTAATGACTTCATCAATACTCTGCCTTTTCCTAAGCTATTATAAACCAATTACAGGGCTCATCTCCACCCGGTGACCACAAAAAGACATTTACCATCGCGGGTAAATGTTTCAAAGTTGTCAATGGATGTCTTTTTTTTTTTTTTTTTTGTCTTTTTTGGGGTGGGGTTTGGGGGGTCTCGCGGGAGCGCGCAGGGGAACAACAGAAGGGAAGCGACGCATCACCGCGGGAGTGCGCACGAACACCCGCAGCATTTCATCAGAAAAGTTTATGTTCGCGGGCAGATGCTTGATGAGTATTTGACAGACATCTGCTTCACTACGATGCTGATGAATCACTCAACTCCAGCTCCCACGATGTCAGAGAGTGCGACGCGCAAACGAAAGGTTTCTGACCGGGTTTAATGGGAGGAAGCCGCTTCCGCTCCCAGTTGTTTTCAGGAACCGGATGCATGAAGTCTCATCTCAGGAGTTTGAGACGTTGGTTACTCTGACCTTTAACCCGGCGGCCACCTGTCGCCGCGTGTTACCCAACTTTTTTTTTTTACATTTTCTTCTTCTTCTTCTTAAATGTTGCTTCGAGTAGAAACCCTGACAGAAACGATGACTGCCTCGAAAAACACATGCAGTAGTCCCGTTTTGTACTGAGTTTGAATAAAAAGGATTAAAACGTCTAGATTATAAATAAAGGGCCGTTTATTTAACAAATGCAACTTCATTTAATTCCAAAAGAGGCTGAACGACATTAACCTGCAGATTTTTCCACAAGAGAAAATACGCACAGCCATTTATTGAGATTTTGAGAGAAAATCCGTTGAGCGACTCTGAATGCATGCACAACTCTGAGAATTTATAAATAATGTTCAAAAGAGTTTATTTATTTATTATTTGATTTAAATTAAACTCAGTCATTCATCAAAACGTCTTTTTTTAGCATTTGAAAAAAAACAATAACTCCCCAAATGTTTTCCTAAACATTCATATCTGACATTTATTTATTTATTTATTCATTCATTCATTCATTTATGTATTTATAGTCTTGCAGAGAATCTATTACTTTTTTCTTGTTACAAAAACATTTTTTGTATTCGTTTATTCAATTATTAGTATTGAATAAACAAAGCGGAATAAAATAAACAAGTAAAAAGTGCCTTTAAAACTCAACCTGAAAGCATTTTTTTTTAAAGAAACACTTTTTTTTCATCTTTTGCAGTCTTGATCAGGGTGTGTGTGTGGGGGGGGGTGGGGGAGGGGGGGGAGGTGTGTGTGTGTGTGTGTGTGTGTGTGTGTGTGTGTGTGTGTGTGTGTGTGTGTGTGTGTGTGTGTGTGTGTGTGTGTGTCTCCTCTCCCTTTGGCAAGTTGGGACATATAATTAAGCTCTAATTTAATTGTCTTTAGTTTTGCAGAGTGACAGATAGCGATCGGTGAGTTTTAATCCGGTGCTCAACTCTCGGTCACCTCTCCTGTGCCTCCTCTCCCTGCAGGCGCTCGTCCTTTTCTCAGCCCGCCGCAACTTCTGTGCCTCCACCTGACGCGGGGAGCCTCTTCAGTCTCTTGACTGTGGTGTTCATTTTAAAACAGTGCTCGCTTTTGTCCCGATGTTTTTGAGCCAGAGCGGCTCAAAGACGACAGGACGACGAACTTCAGCGGCGAACGGATGAGATAAGAGCTTTTGTGCTTTCATTGCTTCTTCTCCAGTCTGCAGAAATCTGCAGTTGCGTGGCTTTAACTTTTCTCCTGATAAAACCAAAGGGAGTTGATGGAAGGGTTTTTTTTTTAGGAGACAGACGACACGGTGCCATGGGTGGCTGCCGTTAAGGGTGTTGTGTTTGTTTTACAGACTGGTGAGAACAACTTCCACAGTGTTTTAAACACGCCGGGGTCCCGACACCTCGCCGTGACGTGGCGCACGTTTGAGGCCCGCAGGAATCGCCTCGTCCTTTCCACGTCTGCCTGCGCGGTTCACTTAGAAAATTTTGTGGCAACTGGAAGTGAAATATTTTTTGCGGAATAAAGAGGTGAGAAAAGAGCAAATTGAGTGGGTTTGTTCGGTTCGTGCGCCTGCTTTTCACACGTTTTATGACTGTCTTTGCAGGCAGGAGGGAGGCGAGCTGTTGAAATGTGGCTCTGTTTACAGCCAGGTGTTAAACAGCAGCATGCTGGGCCGCAGAATCTACCCTGGCTTCCTAAAAGGGTAAATTGAGAGCCAGAGGTGGCTTGTGAAGCGCGTGTTGCCTTGACAATAATTCATCTGAATTAATGTCTTAATTTGTCTGATCTGTGTCACTGAATCAGATGGACAAGGAGGAAGAAAAACGCTGTTTTGGTTCAGAATTGAAGGTACAAATGTAGAAAGAACATTTTTTCAGTTCAGACACAAAATTAACATTATTAAACAGAACAATGCGTTTTGTTTAATATATATATATATATATATATATATATATATATATATATATATATATATATATATATATATATATATATATATATATATATATATATATATATATATATATATATATATATATATATATATATATATATATATATATATATATATATATATATATATATATCACGCATAGTCTATCACGCATTGATTTTAAGTTTAAAATCAATGCGTAAAAGCAGACTGGGATCATTGCTTTAGCTGAAAACATTTCGAAGCCGTTTTTGGCCAAGTTTCAGGTGTCTCATTTAATCAAGACAGGAAGAAATGTCCTTAAACAGTCTGATCAAAGCGCGCCTGACACTGGATCTAAATGGAAACCTCAAGTGTTTCCGTACGCTCACTCAGTGGGTGATATGCCACCAAAACACCAGATCAGTCATCCTCTTTTTCCTTTCTTTTTTTCCTCCTTTCTCCTTTTCTTTCAAGAGCCACGCCTCCCCTCATCTTCCCCGTCCAATGGCATCGGCGCGCAGAGCTGCGCGCAGCCCGGTTGGATAAAACCTGGGTCGGCTTCGGCTGCACACACACAATCCAGCAGCGCGCAGTGTAGTCAGAGTCAGGACACACACCGCGTTTCACCGCAACAGACCCATCAGTTGGATAATAAAACTATATCTGCCGTGGATCTTCTTTTTATTATTATTATTATTACTATTATTTTTTTAAGCCACGTTTTTACCTGGAGCTCCGTCGCGGGGGAAAGGTAAGCTCGGTTTTCCACGTCTCTCGCGGGATTTTGTCGCCTGCTGCCTTTCTCAGTATGATGGAAATTTGTTGAGGAGCAGAAGCGGAGCTTTAATTTGTTTCTTGAAATGCCGCGAACTGCCGGGAGACGCAGAGAGCGCACTGTGGGGGGCCTCGGTGGTCACCAGGAAAGTGGATCAACAAGGAAAAAATAATGCAGCCAAATGAGCATGAAGTGAGCAACTGACATGATGCAGAAGTTGTGGCTCAAACCGAATATATTAAAACAGAGATTAATTTACTACAACTAGTCTATCACGCATTACTTGCTCTGGTTTTTGTTTGTTTGTTTTCTGCCTATATAGTTCTGATGATCAATAAATGATGTTCAGCCTGTAGCGTTTGTTGATGAGACAATAATGCAAGCAGTTCAGCTGGAAATCATGCATGACACGATATCTGTTGTCTCCTTCATCATTATTACAATTATTATTTTAAAATCCTAAACATTAAAACTTGATTTGAATCCCAGGGACACGATTTAAGTATGTGTTGTATTTGTAGTAGCGGGAGTAAATGCTAATAGATATGCAATAAAGGGATGTTTCCTTGAAATTAAATAATTTATTTAAATTAAAAATTACAACAATTTGCACACAGCTTTAGGATTTTTTTTTTGTTTAATTATTATCCTCAATAACATTTTAAAACTGTTTTTAAGTTGCATATAATACACTAAAAAAGGCAATACAAAATAACTGAATTAATGAGAAACATTGTATTAGATGTTACAGTTTATTCTTACAGAGCCAATTTTCAACAAAGGCACTTTACAATGAAGCAGACTCAGTTAATATTGTCTGTATTAATATATGAACAAATACGTCAGATTACAGTATAGTCTATTGGGTTTAGATCTAAACGTTGTTACATGCAGTAACAAGTAAAGCTGCAGTAAAATAGTTCCACATAAATAAAATGACAAAGTTCAAACTTTGTACAGGCTGAACTTTAAAGATGTTTTCATTGATGGGGTGAAACTTAAGTAATTTGATGATGACAAAGTGAAAGATTTGAAGCTAAAATCAGGCTGTATCAGAATGTTTTGCCACATAATTACTTTGGGATAATTATTTCAGGTCACATTCAACAGGACAGAGCAGGAGGCGCTTTTCTGAAAGTCAGTGTTTCACTGTAGTCTTGAGTCTAATTATGCAGCTTTTCTTGAGGAATGTAGATGACTTTTGATGCAGGGAAGCCAAGCCAAACTCATCTTCTCTAAGAAGTCAAATTTTATGTCATTATTCATAAATTCAGAACTTTTTGAAGCAGAAACCAGGGCGCCGAGCAGATGGAGCCTTCAAACGAGGCTTTGACTCACAGTGTCTGACAATTGATTTAACAGGTGCTCAGAAATTGTCTCGGCTCTTAATTCTCCTCTTCCTATTTGATGTTGGCCACGTTTAACTTTTAGAATATGAAGCTCCTTCAATTTTTCCATGGATATTATTACACGCGCAAACCTGCCATTGTTTTTGTTTTGTTTTTTTAAATCTTTTCCGCTTCTTCCAGGCATGCAGTAATTTATTTGGCACTTTAAAGCTCTAGAGCTTTGAATGATATTCCTCACTTGCACGAGTCACTTAGGATGAAGGCATTTGCTAAATGACAAAATGTAAATGCAGTGCAACTTGTTTTGTCACATTTGGAAACAAGCAGACTGGCACAGAAGAATTATGTTCGCTTAAAGTAAAAGCACTCGATCTTGGTTTGTAATGCTCAATGCAAGTTAACAGACCAAAAAGCAGTTTATTTCTACTTCTATGTGCCTTAGATATTGTCTCAGATTTGTGCATGTTGATCCCTAAATGTCATTCTCCAAAAACAACCACTCTACTTTTTTGCAGTCACACAAACACAATTTATTGAGTTCAAAACCCAAAACAAACAGATTTATTAGCTGTAGGCATTGTTAGAATTAGAGCAGCTTTATCGTTTGCACTTCACACAAGTCAATATAAATTATTGTTTTTCACATTTGTCCAGAGGCCTCTGAGACTTTGTCAGCTGCTGTTTGTCTCATTAACACACATGGAGAAAATCAGACATGTATGCTTCCCCATCCAGGACCAAATCAAGTTGGACGTCATAATGTGTGAAAAGATGAGCCGCATTCAGAGACGCTCATGACACAAACTGTCCGTTTCATGTTTCGCTGTCGTCTCCCGTAGCCCGACATCGGCGCCGGACTCCAGAACACACTCATGTCAGACGAGGCGGGAGGCTCACTGCAGGCACTTTAACCGGGACAGCGGTGGAGCAGGGCGTCACGTTCAGCTGGTGGAGTAGGGAGTTGAAACTCAGGGTTATGTCCGGAGGCACTGGAAGAGGTAAGCAAGCTGCCTCTGCTAAGCTCTCTGATTGAAACACAAAGAAATAAGACCTTACATTTCTGTGCCTTCAAAGCTGGGGTCTGTCAACTTTTTAATAATCTGTTGAAGCTGTTTTTTTTTTTTGTTATTGTTGTTTTTTGGTATTCTGAAACAATTGAAACAATATGGAAACAGAGAACCTGAAATTTTCTTTCTCCCATGCTAGGCTGGCAGAATACAAACATTTAAGCAACATCTTGTAGTACATTACACAGATGCACAAAAATACTTGTTATATCTAAAATAAAAAATACGTTTTTTTGTGATTTTTACATTCTAAATGGATTTAAATTTAACGGAGCAGTATGACACAATTTACATTTCTGAAAGCCTTTAGAGTGGTTGCATGAAAACGCACTACACCCTTCAGACTTTTGGACGCTCTTGGTAAAGATGGGTGTAAAACTTTAAAATAAATATCTTGCTTTTTCTACTCGCATAATTTCACACACAAAAAAAGGAAGAAATATTTTCATCAGAATATATTTATTCAGTGGGGAAAGAATCATGCATTGAGAAATTACAAAAATCCAATGAAAAAATAAGCTAATTGAAATTATTGTGTTTTATTCATTAATTGCCAATTTGGGAAATTAAATTTTTAGGATTTGTTGTAAGTTATTCACAGATCCAATTAACTTTTATTTATTAATTTATGATGGCTTCTTATCCTGATGCGATGCTGGATCCAATGTCTCTCTTCGAAATGTGAAAGTCAGGAAAAGATAACATCAGAATTTGTCACTAAATTTGCAGAATTTGCTAAAAAATAATCATGATTGTTTTTTTCAGTACAGCAGCCAAAATTCACTTACACCAAAATGAAGAAAAATTCTGTATTTAAATGTGAGTACATTTATTCAGGAGGCAAAACAATTAATAAATCATTCTAAAAATTACTTTAAGACAAACAAACAAAAATCTCCCTACTAATTTGTGCCAAATGAATGGTACCTTGATCTCTTTATAATGTCGTTATTTTTTCTTTTTTTTTCTTTTTTTTTTTTACTTTAATTGTATTAATTGATCAGTGTCCATAACTTTGTGTTTTTTTCTGAAAATAGTAAAAACAAGAGAACATGCTATTCAAGTTATGGCTGAGAAAACAAGCCTTAACCTCAGCAGAAAAAATGTAATGTTTACAATAACCTGGTCTTGTGACAAACGAAGATGGACGAGAGTGAGTGAGAATTGGATTAATAAATAAATGTGAGGGGTGCATAATGAACTTCACACCTACATAATTATCTATCTATCTATCTATCTATCTATCTATCTATCTATCTATCTATCTATCTATCTATCTATCTATCTATCTATCTATCTATCTATCTATCTATCTATCTATCTATCTATCTATCTATCTATCTATCTATCTATCTATCTATCTATCTATCTATTAGTTTAATAAATCCGTGCTGTGTTTGTCGGTGCGCGCGCGCTGCCTGTGTGTGCGCGTGCAGGACCCCCGGCTGCGCTCCTCTTTAATATCCTGCAGGTTGATGAAGCTTGGCGGGCAGGTTTTTTTTTTCTTCTTCTTCTTCTGCCACACTCGGCTGGCAGCGTTAATAGAGGCTGCCCTCCTTCGTCCGGCCGCCGTTTGATGTGGAAATGAAAGCTGGGGGACTCAGTGGGTTAAATTAAAAGCGCTGCTGTTGTTCTGGACGCTGAGCAGGGAGTGTTGGGAGCTCAGGTTTTCTTTCTTGTCGCAGCGCAGGAATAGCGCACCGTGTCTGCTGCTGCTGCTGCTGCTCGTTGTCGTCTTGAAGGAGCAGCTCCTGTCAGATCCGTGAATGAGAGCCTCTATTATGCATTTGTGTATTTAAAACACGGTGACAGCTGTGAGCTTAACCTCTTTTGAGAGAAAAAACAAATTGTCAGCCTTTCTCAGCCAGAGACATGAAGCAACAAGCCAAACTGAATTATTATATTTGCTTGGTTTTCCATTTTGTGTGTGCGTGTTTGGTAATTGTTGTTTGAATGCTGAAACTTCTGTATAGTACTTCATATTACACTTGATTGAACAATAAGGTGATCAATGTAAAAGCTGATTGAACCAATTTGACATCATTTTTTAAAATATGTGGAAGATTGACATAAAAGACAGCTGTATGTCTGCGACACAGAGGCTACATTCACACACAGATAAGTAGAATGTTAAACCAGAAGGGATTATCCATGAGAGGATAAGCCTAAACCAACAATTAAAAATTCATCACTCATAAAGAAAAGACTTTGTTTTCTAATGTCCATCATAAAATCACATGAATGTTTAACTCAAGCTGAAATAGAGTATTTATGAATATAGTCTAGAAATTAGTTGATATTTCACTATAAAGAAAACAATGTATTATCAAGCAAGTTGTCTTTTGTTTTTTGTTTTTTGTAGAATAGAATATATAGTCACAGCAGCCAATTACATAACTATCCATCCTTGCCCAAAACTACAACTTTATGTGGGAAGCTGAAATCAAACTCACAACCTTGCAGCTGCATTAAAAAACAAAAGCATATAAATCGCATACAGCCACCCCAAAGAAAGAGAAGACAAGTTGAAAGGGAGCAGATGTACCATCTGTAAGAACAGAAAAAAGACAGATAACATACAAAACATAGACAAAAAAAGCTCAAATATATACATCTAAAATGAGTTCAACAATACAAATTTGTGTAGTCAGTCCAGTGATTTCACTGCTCAGGACAGAAAGTTGTGTATCCATCTGCTGGTTCTGTTTTAGATGTTATGTTCAAAACATAAATGTTGAGGGTGTGAGGAGTTTCTGACAATTTTCAGAGGCCTTTGTCCCTGAAGGACAGTTAAATTTTAAATTTTTAAACTGACTGGACAGTTTCAACTTTTGCTTTTATTTGTGTAAAATAATTAGCTTCTTTCTTTGCAAATTTGAAAAACTTGGCAGTAATTTATGAAGACACTGACTGTGTGTTTTAGATAATTTTTTTAAAATATTTCATGGAGCCAAACTGAGGTTATTTATTCATTAAATAGGACAGGCTCATGGCTGCTCGTGATTAAATCAGCAGACAGACGTTTGTGTTTGTGAAGTGGGTTGAGCTCTCTGAAGTTCCATGACATTTATGAGTGTTCATCCCCCCTTCTCCCCCAGGCCATGGGGGTCTTAACCAACTAGGTGGAATGTTTGTTAATGGCCGCCCGCTTCCGGAAGTTATCCGGCAACGCATCGTAGACATGGCCCACCAGGGGGTCCGACCCTGCGACATATCCCGGCAGCTCCGGGTCAGCCACGGCTGCGTCAGCAAGATCCTGGGACGGTGAGCACAGCGACGGACCATGTTCCCCGACTTCCTCTTGCGGCGACCTTTGAGCAGTTTACGTCTCAGAGACACGTTTGGTGATTTTATGAACACGGTAACCATCTCTCACAGGTATTACGAAACAGGCAGCATCAAACCGGGGGTAATCGGTGGCTCTAAACCCAAGGTGGCCACTCCGAAGGTTGTGGAGAAGATCGCAGAGTACAAGAGGCAGAATCCCACCATGTTTGCCTGGGAAATCAGAGATCGACTGCTGGCGGAAGGGGTGTGTGACAGCGACACGGTGCCCAGTGTGAGCTCCATTAACAGGTAAAAACCTCAATTAGAAAACATTTATGCCTTTATACCCTTCATCGGGTCTCAGTGACAGTTCTTGCAGTCTTTCTAGCATTTTCAGAGGCTTGATAATATAGAGGGTCTTTTGTTTGTTTGCAGAATAATTCGAACTAAAGTTCAACAGCCTTTTAATCTCCCACTGGATGGAAAAGGTCTGAGTCCAGGACATACCTTAAGTAAGTCTCTAATACTTATAAAACACACACACAGTTAAGGTCATAAATCTTCTTCATCATCCTTTTCTATTACTGCACACTGAATTATAAAGGTTAAGAATTTGCTTATTGGGCCGTAGGATTAAGTTTATGACCTTGTGCGATTAGGATTACTGGAAAAGTAACTGCTTCTCTGAGGGTTTTCCTCTCTGCTTCCCAGTTCCAAGCTCAGCCGTCACCCCTCCAGAGTCGCCTCAGTCCGACTCTTTGGGCTCCACTTACTCCATCAACGGCTTGTTAGGAATCCCCCCGCCAAATACAGACGGCAAGAGGAGCCACGATGACAGTAAGGACTGAATTTGATTATAACAAAGCTCAGAGTTGCTGGAAAGCCAAAACAGAGAAGATGTGAAAAATGAGCCTGTGATGGGTTTTCTTTTTAGTTTTCATATATGTCCAATGTTTGTACTTGAACTTCATTCAAATCATCACATAGTTTTCACTCTTTAACTTTATGGTAAGCATTAAATACTGCTAAAACTAAATGCCCTGGAAATTCATCAAAACAATCTGAAGTCAAGTTCATTGAGAGGTCTACAGACATTTAAAAGTATTTATCTTATGCTTCAATACTCCAAATGGACACAAAAATAAAGTTTGTCTAAGAGAAGTGGTTCCAAAATATAGCCCTGAGGTGCACCACAAGTTAAGTTAGTTTCTTCTTAGGACCATTTTACCTATGTTTCTCAATAATAGAGTTTCTTTCAGTTAATTATAGGATCACGTCAAAAACACGCAAAATTAGATTCTTGTTATTATGTACGCAAATAATTTCTAAATCTTTTTGTGCAGTGAATCCTCGCACAAAAAAACCAACACAAAGTGTTTTGAATTCCCTCCTCTCCGTCCTCCTCCTCCTCCTCGCTGTGTTGATCCAGGTGACCAGGAGAGCTGTCGGCACAGCGTGGACTCCCAGGGCAGCGCAGGCGTCCCGAGGAAACAGATGAGAGTCGAACACTTCTCCACAGCCGCACAGCATCTGGACTGTGGGTTTGATCGTCACCACTACCCGTCGGATTCCTTCAGCTCCACCTCAAGCGGCAAGGCAGAGCAGGTAGCAGTGAAGAATAAGTCTAAAGTTATGTTTGCTTCAGTCTGAAAATAGTACAGAAACTTTTCTGTATGCTCTTTCTTATTATTTCTAATGTGGTACTTGTTTATTTGTGTGGTGATGGAAATCTTGCCACTGAATTTTGCTTGTGCTCACGTTGAAGCAAAATTTAGGCCAATATATCTAATCCCTGTCTGTCATCTTTAGACTTTGTACCCGCTGTCGCTCATCAACAGCAATCTGGACGAAGCCAAGACCAGCCTCTCATCAAGCAGCTCTGTCATTGGACGAAATCTGTCAGCACACCCGAGCTACACTGTAGTAACCGGTAAGATACTTTGAGTAATGTCGTCTGACATGCATCTGAAATGCAAACTGACTTCTTAGCATCTTTTAGGCTCAGACGTTTCACTCATCCTCACCTTCTCCACATGTCAACCTACTTCATTTTAACCCCCTGCATTGTGTTTCTTACATTAAGCATTTGTTTCCATTTCTCTCACCCACTCACTGCGTGCTGGCTCTAAAAGAGCCCCTTCAGACTCTGCCGCTCTGTCTGAAGCAGGAAATGTCCCCAGAAGTGACCAGTACGAGCCCCTCACCAAACATGGTGGCATCCACCTTGGCGTACGTGGAGCTGCAGGCGCTGCAGAAACCCATTTCTGTCAGCAGCAGCTGCAACGGCGCCAGCAACAGCGGCAGCTCCAACTCATATCCCAATGCCTTCAACTCATTTTCCCATCATGCACCGATGTACGGGCAGTTCAGCAGTCAGTCTATCATGTCAGGTAATTCACTCATACATCTCATTTACGTTCACAATCTTGATGCAAGAAGTATGAATGTTTCTGACCATTAGTGTGGGGATGCTGAGACCGCTTGATGTTTTTAAAAACTTTCACAGTTCACGTGCTGAAAAGAACATCTTAAAACATTTAACCTCACATCAGTACAACAATAACAAACATTCTGAGCAACCAGGGAATGACTGAAAGTTTCTCCAAATTATTGACTTCTGTCATGATCACTTTTTCACGCTTTTTGTCTCACTCATTAATGACATGAATGTCATTATTTTTGGAACTTTGTTGGTTTATTTGTGCCAATTATTTTCCAGGTAGTAAAGACTACCCAAAAAAAACTAGTTGATCCCACACAAATTTATTCTGTCTTCACTTTATTGTCGCTGAAATCATTGCAATCATAAAACAAATTGTAATAAGGCAAATAATTTGACATTAATCCAATGGAGTTTTCCAATTATGATTTAATTTATTAAGGGAAAATGATCAATCCCACATTAGCCTATATAAAATACATTTATGGTGTCAGCCAGGTATAGCATGTTCTTATTTGCAGGGTTTGTGTTTTCTTGGATGAAAAACCGCTTCATCTAACTCAACACTAAATACGACTTTTAATCTGCAACACCAAAACCTTCCTGTTTGTATTTGTTTGTTTTGTTTTGTTGTTTTTTAACAGCTGGACTTGTATGGGTCATTCTTACTGTTGCATGACCCAAGTTAGCTTCAACTTAAGATCATGAACTGACAGCCAAAACAAAAGGAATAATTTAATGGACTCTTGAAGGTCTTGAGGCAGTAAAGCATCCTCAGATCATCACACCACCTCCCCAGTCTTTGACTGTGGGTTAGTGGTTCTTTTCTATAATGCTATATTAGTTTTATGCCACAATGGGATGCAAACATTTGAGAAAGTTCTTCTTTGGTGTTATAAGTCCACAAAACATCTTCCTCATAATTTAGGGATCATCAAGATGGTTTTTTGAGTTTTCTTATAGCAGAAGTTTTGACCTTCAAACTCTCCCATGGAGGTCATTTTTACCTTGTAAATTTCTTCCTGTTGAAGCTTGAATACTGACAATAAGGTAGAGGAGGATAGATGTTTGTTTGTAACCCTTTCCAGACTGATTGACAACATTGAATTTTTTCATTTCTTAAAACTAGGCCATGTTGATTTACTTTTTAAGATCTTTTATCCTGCTTCAGACGTGTTGCAAATTAAGGTATTTCTTGATTCAACATCTCAATCAATTAGAAGTAAATGGGTGATATTAATTCAAATGAATTAAATCAGTATTTGAAAAACTGCATTTTGGATTTATTCAAATTATATGTTCTATATTAAAGTAGTTTGATGATCACAAATAAAAGCTAAGACCGAAGACATCCACAGGAGGGAAAATATTTTAGTTCACTGAAAGTATGGGCACAAATGTACAAAAAATGCCACTAATATCTGATTAAATATCTTTTAATGAAGTTGCACACAGTTTTTGTAACCATTAAAATCCTTCTGGCATATTTCCAGAAAATGATGAGTTTATTTTAATTTACTGTTTAGTTTCCTGAAACTCACTTGGCTTTAAAGCACAGATCCCAAATGTTCAATAGAGTGGAGGTCAGTGGTTTAGGGAGGCAGAAGCCTAATATTGGCTTAATTTAATCATGCTAAAAATTATTTTTTTATGTATTTGGGGTCATTTTTCTGCCGGACCATCTAAATTTGTTTGACTTTTCATTCTTCAATACTGCAAAACAAACATTCTGTACCAACTTTAAGTTTGAGTTCATGGATCTCGATACGTAGATTTTGCGTTTACATTTAAGGGTTCACTGATGTTAGCATGTTTTGGCTGAACACATCTTAAGGCTTATGGTTGAAAAGATTTGTATCGCTGTTGCCTTTTCTTAAGCAAGAGGGTTTTGGGGTCTTTCTGCAAAGAGTTTGCTTGTTCTCCCTGTACATGTGTAGTTTTGCTGCAATAAGCTCCCTTTACTGTGCAAAAACTTGCATGTTGGGTTAATTATTCTCACTAAGCTGCTCTTAAGCTGCAAATGGGAGTGAATTTGTTCATACACTGAAGCTTTGTCTTGTACGTCTCTGTGTTGCCCCGTTTTAGGCTGTCAACCTGGAGAAGTCGATTTTGCAATCATGTTCACTTTATCGCAAAGCGCAACAGTGAAATGACCTTTTTTTAATATAAATTTAATCTTGCTTCCAAATCTTTTGCCCTGTTTTGTAATTTATTTTAATGAGAAGTTGGGAAATTTGGTGGTACATTTTATTCTTCATTCCAGCACTTTGTGAAACGCATAAGCAGCAAGTTATCCAAACAACGTGATGGCGTGTCTTGTCATTTTGTCTAAGGAGGTCGCCATTTATCTCACGTTACAATGAACAATTACCTCGTCTTGACTGCACGTTTCAGTCAAGTCGGAAAATACCGATTTGGATCTTGTTTCTTGATTGGTGTCCTCTATGTTCATAAAACTCATTTCATTGTTCACAAGAACAATAAGATTCCACTTTCCATTCACAATAACGTATCAGATCTTGTTCTTGCCAGAATATTTAATTTTATCACACTAACTTATTTTTTAAAACATCTTAAGGTTTTATCTTGCATAAGCATTCCACCAAGGGAAAAAAAAACATCTCAAATAAATTAATAAAATACTAACAAGTATTATGACCAACATGTCCAGGTGTTTACTGGTGCCAGTGTTAAATGTTACAGGACTACAGGAGGTTTTGAACTTGCACAAGGTTGTTTTTGAAAGCAAATTGAATAAAAGTATTAACTTAGTGAATGTTTTGGGAACTTTCTCTCCAGATTGGCCAATTCTCCACAGCAAGACGTAACCGAGTTTGTTTCATTTTTGTCGTTTCAGGGCGTGACATGGTGAGCTCCACCCTGCCAGGTTACCCACCCCACATCCCCTCCCCGGCCCAGACAGGATACTCCTCCTCCGCTATCACAGGAATGGTCGCAGGTACGCTCTGCAACCCACAGAGGGGCATTTAAAGTAAAAAGAAGCGAACAACAAATGAGTCACACAGGAAGAAGAAATGCATGAAGAGAAGAAAACATTGGATGGAGGGTTTGTAGATTAACAGGCAGGGAGGCTGAGTTAATCAGTAGCCTTTGCCAGGGTGGTGATCTGTGTACATGTGCACGCGGGTGCACACAGGCCCGGGGGGTACAGAGAACAGGCTGGGGGGTTCCGCCCTGCTGCTCACACCCCCCATCTGACCACATATCGCCATGGGAACCGGGGGGCCCAGCAGGGAGATGCAAGCAAGGGTGGGCGGGAAGAGATGTGAAGTCTGGATCCAAACCGAAGAGTAGGAGGTCTTTGTTGCGTGTGTGCGTGCGTGTGTGTGTGTGATGTGCCTTTATATTTGAAGTCTGCCCTCCGAAGCGCGAAATGAGAGGGTCTGATTTATTATTTTTCTGGTGGGCTCACAGTGAGGAAGCGTTGATACACAATTACCGAGTGAAGGAGGAGGGGGCGTGTGGAGGGGTGAGGCAGAAGGAAGAGGAGAAGGAGGAGGTGGGGGTGGAGGCTCAGGGCTTCATTCCAACCAACATAATTACTAATTAGATATTGGAATGTTATAAAAAAAAAAGAGAGAGAGAAAGAGAGAGGAAGAATGAGTGTTAGTGAAGCTAAAGCAGGAAGTGCAGGACGAACAAAAGAGGAGGACGTTTCAGAGGGCAGCGACTGAACGATGCGAGTGGCTGAGCGCTGCAGAAAAAAAAAGAGCGCGGAGGCAGGGTGTGTGCACGCACCGCTGGGCTGAGGGATTTCACCCTCAGCAATCCACCTGCACCGCAGATTAATGGTTTACATGCTGCACTAACTGCTGGTGAATTATGAGCTAAGCTCCAGCAGTTGCTGGCACGCAGACAAACGGCCCGACTCTGCAAAGCATGTCCCCTCCTCGCCCTTTAATAACAAACGTCTTCATGAATTTTATCTGCAGAGATGTGTCTCCTGACATCATTTTTTTCAATTATTTCCCAGCAGGTGCAGACTACTCGGGCCAGTCCTACGGCCATTCGCCCTACACCTCCTACAGCGAAGCCTGGAGGTTCACCAACTCCAGCATATTGGGTAAGCAGAAGAAGACCCTGACAGCGTTGTGCAATATTTCTTGTTATGCATCATTGGTTAGCAAGTTGAAAATGACCTCTACTATGAAAGACAAAATATGGAGGAGTTTGATTTTTATTTTCTTTTTCCTGCTCAAGCAAAGAAAGCCGTGATTTTCCTTACATTTAACGAGGATCACCTCTGCTGACCTTGTAATGCAAAAACATTAAAGCATGATTTGAATTTGAATGAGCAACTTCCAGAAAACTGAGCCCACAATGCTTTGGTCACATGTTCCATCAGGCCATTTTGGTCCTTGTGGAAAAAATGTGTCAGGATATTAATTGTTTGAGGTGTTTTAACAGAGTGACTATGTTTTTTGTCTTGATATATTTTTTTTTAATTTTAAGTCTTTAATCTTTATTTTTCCAATAATATCACATCAACGCTGCCAGACAGTTTTAATATTTTGTCAAAAATAAATAAATGAAGCAAATCTGAATAGGTTAAAGTAAACGCAGAAAGAAACAAAATTTGTAAAACGCCACATTGGTTTAATGAATTGTATTGCAAATATGTCATCTTTCGGCAGCCTCTCAAAGCATTGGCATGGAGCAAACATACATAAACACTCAACATGCTTTATTGGGATTGCATGTTGTTTATTTTGTGTTTATCTGTGAAGTGGGAGAAAAGTTACACATTGTTTACAAAAATGCTGCAAGTGGTTGATTGCCATTGTATTTAGCACACTTTCTCCTGCAATTAATAAGCTCCAGTACAACTAATGCCTTCAGAAGTCACTTAATTAGACTCTGGAAACCATTTAAAAGAGAAGCAGCCAATAGGTCCATGATAACTCTGGAGGAGCTGTGGAGATCCACAGCTCAGGTGGAACAGGAAGCCAGACAGAGGAAAACTGTACTCTTGTGACATGAGATCAAAACATAGCTTTTGACCTGCAAGACAAATGTTGTTTATGAGAAAAATTTGATGCCCTGAACACTTGATTCTCATGGAGAAATATAAAAGTAGTAGTATCGTGCTTTAGTCTGCAAAAGACTTAAAGGCTCACTTTCCAGCAGTATAACAGATCTAAGCGTACTAACAAAGCAGAAAAGAAATTAAATGCTTTGTATCAAAGTATATTCAAGCCTTAGAATGGCCTAGTCAATGTGTTGACCTTATTCTAAGAAACTGTGGCAAAACCTGAAAAAATGTGCACAAACGTCAAACTTTGTTTTTTATATCCATGTATTATTTCTTTCCACTTGTCTCTTATGCTGAAAGAAATTAAATCTGAAAGAAACATAGGGGATGAGAACATTGTTTTCACATTCACCTACCTTACCTTAGAGATATTAAAGTAAATGAACATTAAAATGAACTGTTCCTCTGGTGGTTATGGAGAAAAATCCAGCATCACGAGTTGAACGTTTGCAATGTACACGACGGAGTTCACATTCAAACCACAGACACCTCAACCAGTCTCTGAATTTCTGCTGGCAAATGTTTCCACCGCCGTGAACAGCTCCCGCTCTCTGTGTCTCCCTCCACAGGCTCCCCCTACTACTACAGCTCGGCCTCCCGCACAGGTCCCCCCTCTGCAGCCGCCGCCTACGACCACCTCTAGTCCCACGCAGCTGCAAGCCGAGACTCTTTGAAACCAGACTGAGAAACGTAGTGGACAGATGGGGTCCCGGCCCACGAGAGGCAAAGCTGGAAACTCTGCTGGAGGAATAATTGTTTCTCGTACCCTTTTTATGGTCTACAACCTCTGATTTTATTTATTTGTCATGACTGATGCCACCATGCAGGGTGACTGATTCGTGTTTACACACCCTATCTGGGCATGTTTTCAGCTCGACTGTGCATTCATTTCAGTTGAAATCTCTTTAAACCAGTTTTTTTGGCCAAAGACTTTTTTTTTTTTCTTTTCTGGCACATGTACAACTTGATTCGGCAGTGCAAGTTTATTGCTTGGTGATATGCAAACCTCTGCGAACTAAACTATGCCTGATTTGTTTACATTGTGGATGTTTCCCCTCCTTTTTTTTTTAATGGAAACGTTAAACCCAGTGATGATATGAAGTCCTGCTGTTCTTCTGTACCTGCTTGTGGATTCTCTGTATAGACAAACACTGAATCAGAATTAGAGAAAAAATATCAACTTTAAAAACATAATGTCTGTCATAGAAAATTCAAGGATCTCTCCAGTGATGTGTATATAGTGTAAATGATGAATTATGGGGAGGTGATTGTGCTCTGCGAATAAATGTTGATCTGGGAGGGATGTAAACAACAAGGCTGGAAACACATTTGTTTTTGCTTCAACTGGTTTTAAGTTTTTTTTGTCATGCCGACGTTCTGATGTTTAGTAAAAATGGTGACTATTTTTTCTTATACTGTTATTAATATTATTGCAGATGTAAATATTGATTTTTTTAAAAGAAATATTTTAATTAAAAGCATGAAGAACTGCAATTTTCACGTCTCCATCATCATTATTCTAATTATTTTAAAAAAAAATTTTGCAGTTTTTGTTTGTTTGTTTGTTTTTTGTTGCAGTTTTTCCTCTTTTAATAGGACCGAGATCAATGATCCTGAAAACGCGCATCTGTCTCATTTATTTTTTCTTTCCTTTCCTTTCTTTTTTTTCTGCATCATGTAGTTTTATTTGCAATCATTCCGTCCCTGTTTGCGGCCTCATTATCGCAGCGCGTTAACGAGGCTACGGTTCGGCGGCGCCGCGGCCCACCTGGTGCCACCGGGAGGACGCAGGAGGCGCACGGAGGACTCCAACTTCTGCGACCCCCACGGACGGCATGAGTTCAACACTTAGTGCTTCTTTCTTTTTTCTTTTTTATTTATTTATTTATTTATTTATTTTTTGTTTGTTTGTTTGTTTGTTTACTAATTTAAAGTTGGATAGGATGCATTTTGAAACTTTTGACTGGTCCGTTATTGATGAAAAATGCGGCTTTTCAGACAGCAATTGAACATAAAACAGCCTATGGGTGTAAAATGTCAGACTTGTCAGGAAGTGAAGTCATGTTTGCTGATCTTTTGAGGAATAGCATGTTTAAAATGTGTCACGCACACAGTGAAAACAAATGTGAACAGGCAATAGATTTTCACAATAAAAAATGCGTAATATATTCAGTAGAATATTAATCTATACGCGTAATATTCAGCATTCAAGTTATATTGTAAAACATATTGATAGAAAACATTATATCTTGATCACAGCATGCGCGCTCATTCATTGTAGCCTGATTTGTTAATACTGGTTGTGTTAATGACAGATTATATCAGAGTAAAAGACAAGAACTTTCGTAGTGAAAGATCAATACAGGCACGCTCTCTCTCCCAATTTGCAAAAAAACAACAACAAATTGACACATTCTGAGAAGAGCAGTTTCTGTTCTGATGTCTAAGAGACCTGGTGTTCTGCAGTGGGAGAGACTTGTGAAAAGCAAACTTTCTTGAATTCCCGAAGCAACGAAAAGCACCGACTTGACAGAACTTTGTCTCGCCACCTCGAACTGAAGGACAAAATTTATGTTCTTGCGACACTAATACGTTTCAATCTTGCAGCAAGAGTGTTAGTTTCAATACCACTTTTACTGGCCTAGCATTAAGCTAAGTCAAACCTGCCAGCAAGCTAAGGAACCACGAGGCGGCCATTGGAAACTGTGGGGTTTCCAGGGAAATGGCTGATAGAATAAGGTTAAAAGTTTGTGTCCAACTGTAATTAATTTAGAACGAACACTAATGCTACAGCTAAATGTGCTAACACAAGCTAAGCCTGGTAACTCTGAGTAAATAATTGAAGAGCATTTTATCTTAGCTAAAAACATGTTCATTGATGTTTCAGTGACATTTTATGACTTAATCGTAAACCGACTCAATTGGTTTCTTTTTAGCATCGGAGGGTAAATCCAAAAAGCAATATCAGTAAGAACTTAACTGATTACGTCAAGTGTTGTTCATAGTTGCTAAAACATTGCAGTTGTTGGCTGCACATTAGCACAGCTGGCAGCACAGCAGCCTTACAGCCAGGAGGTGTTGGGTTTGAATCCTGGCCTGGGCGCTTTCAGCATGCAGTCTGCAGGTTTTCCACGCTGGGTTCTCTCTGGGTACTTCAGTCCAAAAGTATGATAGTTAAATTAAATGAATATTATAAATTGCTGTTAGGTGGGAGATGGGATGAGTGAGTGCAGAAAATGAATGGGTGGGCAAGTTGATGCCTCTTAAACCTGCCAATTTTCTACTTCACCCAAAAAAAATTCATGCAAATTCTTACACAAATGTTATGAGTTAAATTCTAATCAGGGCAATTACTGATCAAATCCATCTACTGAGCTAATAATATTTCTTCAGGACGATATATATTTACTCATCTTCCTCATGTTGATTAAAAAAAGACCAATCTTCTAACTGAAAAAAATTTAATTCAAGTCAATTTGTCGTAAAAAGGCAATAAGATTCCTTAGGGGTATGAAGGGTTTAAGTGTGAAACTTTATTAGACAGTTAAAAGGAAGAAAAAAAAACCTCATTGTGATTTATGCTTGGAATTTATTCATCAGGATTCATGAAACAAATATTTTGACCTTAAATTGTTTAAAACGTGTAGGAGTTTAGCTTTGTTTTCTATTGAAACAGGATCTTTCTTCATTTTTCTTCCTTCCCCATGATCTCAAATATGCTGATGGAGATCAGATCGAGAGTATTTGTGTTCATTTTCTCGACTCGCCTTCCGTATGCCTTCCTCGGCAACCAGCGTCCACTTCAGACATGAGCTGCTCTTCAACCCTGTTTCCCGTGAGTCCAGTCACGCTCTTTCTGTTCAGGAAGCTTCTCAAGCATGAACGAAAACACACATCCGTGCACATCCAAGTACTCCCACCTAGATACCGGAGCAGTTCTCAAGTGTGCGCATTTTCCCTTAGATAGTCAAATACATGTTTGCAAACATTAAACATTAAACATTAATGGCCCTTCATGCCAAAAGAGTTAAGAGGAAAACATCACACTGCTGCTCACATACATGAGTCATGGCAGAAATAGCTGCTCTGTGTCCCTCTCTGGGCCTATTAGTGAGGAGGTTTCGGGCCACAGTGCTTCTGGTAATGAGCCCGCCAGCACAATACAGGCAGCGGGCCGGAACAGCTGAGGGCAGACAGCACCGGCAGGACGGGGGCGACTGGGACTTCCTACATTTAGCACAGTGCTACGCTGACACCACGTTCACGTGTGAGGTGCGGAGACAGAGAGTCTGTCTCGTGTACGGGACCGTCTGTGCGATACAACGACGCCCGTGGCCCATTTTTAGAGACGAGCCACAAAAACGGTACCACCGGGGCCTCCCTGGAGAAACGAGTGCCAGAAAGGCAACGGCGGAGTGTGGGGCAATCGGTGGGATGATGGGCTTGGGTTGTCCCGCGCCAGTCATCCAGAAAGTTCTCCACTTTATGCGCTGGTCCAAGATGCAGGCCAAGCCATTCGGCCCTGTGAAAAAGCATAATGTTCTCTGGGAATAACAACCTGCCCAGTTTATTTCCCCCCTGTGTTGGAGAGACACAGATTGTGTTTACAGGCAATTTTAGGTGAAATATGCCTGATGCTTTTACGGCGCGTGTTCCCCCTTATTAGAAATCAAAGGTTTTTCATTTCTATCACAAACACAGACAGAGACATTCACAAGCTGCTGAGCTCTTCGGCAATTTTGATAACCCACCGAATGGATAGAGTTACTTTTGATCAGTACGTGGCAAAAGTTTTAATATCTTCAAACCTTTGTACATTTTGCCACCAAACATGGTCACATTTTATTGCATTTTATTGGGTTTTCGTCTTCTTTATTGAGGCAAAGCAGTGCACAACTGTGAAGGTGAAGGAAATAAATGAATATTGAATATTTTTACAAGTGAAAATCCAAGAGCAGTGGAAATGTATTTAATTTGTTCATTTGTAGAATCACTTTTTATTGCAGTTATAGCTGTAAGTGATTGAGGGCGTGTGTCTCACTGCTTTCCTCGTGTAGAAACAATTTTTTTTTACCCATTATTATTGGACGGAGACATTTCCCAGATGGAGAATAGCATTTGGACAGAATGATGCTACCACCATGTTTTGGAAAAAAAAGATGGTATGTCTGAGGTGTTTTGTTTATTGCATGTAAGCCAGAAAGTAAAGTTTTTGGTAATATTTTTAGTCCTAGTTTGCCAAAAGAATGAACATTAAAATTACTAATTTCTCTTTTTACAACATGTCCAACATCCAATCACACAACCACCTGTTGGATGTGCTGGACCTCCTTTTGGACAGACTAAGGACTTTTACTTTACTTTAGAAACATTACCATTAGAAAAATATTATGTTGAGCTTTCTTTGTCTAAATTTGCCCCAATTAAACATTGTTTTCTAAAAAAAAAAACCAAATCAGAGAGCATGAGCCTGAAGCACCGCCGCCATGAGCCGACTGCTCCTCTCTCAGATTTCAAGACGCTATCTGATCCGGCGTAAAGCAGCTGAAACAAACGTGCCAGTCAAACGGAGCGCAGTGGTCAAACAGAGGGTGTTCCTGTGCACAGGCAGGTGCTCTGTGCCTATTAAACAACGCTCAGAGCCTACAGGCAGGAAGTTACTGTTGACTGGAAGACATCAAGAAAAACGCACCTTTCAAAGCACACACACGCACACATTGAGGTGGATAAACTCTTCCAGGTATCAGGTACCGCCCCGAGGGGGAGAGTTGACCTGTGAAGACCTGAGGAGTCAAGCACTCCCTTCATTGAGACACCCATATTGATTTTACAGGCTGATCTGTGAATAACGCTGCAGATTATACATTAATCAAGTGGCGCAAGAACATATGAACATATCGCTGCCTGTGAATGAAGGCTGGTGGTTAAAAAAAAGGTAATATATGAGTGAAAAGATGACACAAGATAAGATGGAGGAGATTAGACGTCAGGCATTCACTTTGCTCCAACAGTTGCTTTAACCCATGAAGCTCTGACCCGAAGGCCCCGCCGCTGCATGTTTACATTGCATCTACAAAAGCTGCTGGGTTTGCATCTGAAGACTGCCGTGTGTGTGTGTGTGTGTGTGTGTGTGTGTGTGCTGGGAGGAAAAAAAAGGGCAAAAAGAGGTCACGCATTGAAATCCCCTCCAGCAAAGCCTCAACTCTTCTCCAGAGGCTCGATCTGTTGCCAAAACGCAAACATTTATAGACTTTTTTTCTGACCAGATCTGAGAGGAAGGAAATTTTAAATGATCCTAATTGAAGCTTCAGAAATGTTTCTCAATCAAAGTACAAATCAGTTCTTCCGTTCAGATTTAAATTTTTGAAGAAAGTCCACAGGAAGTCCGGTAGAGTTTCCCCGTTTTCACAGATTACAACACTCTAAGGAATGAAAGAGGAAGGTAAAATGACACATGCTGTTCAAACGGTTTCACAAATAAAATGTGA